GTCTGCTTAGTTAGTTTGGTTACAGCCGAAAACATCGCGGACGGAAACGTCGCGGAGAAAACAACGCAAGGAGAAAACGTCGTGATACAAAACATCGTGGGAGAAAACATCGCAGTCCTAAAATATCGTGGTGCAAAAAATCGTGGTCGAAAATAAAGCAGTTCAAAAACTTTTCAGTTTAAAAAAATCGTCGTCAAATATATCGTGAGAAGAAATAAAGAACCTACAAATCATCGCATGACGATAACATCGCATACATGCGCTTTTCAGATCGCATATGTAACTGACTTTCGTCATAACTAACAAATCGACATCCAAAACATTGGTTGCACGCTATGTTTACGACACTTAAAGAATAAACGGAAACAAAACAATTAGTAATTTTCATTAAAACAATATCAGATTAACAAATGTGAAAGAAAATAATTTGATCAAGAACTAAGCAATTTTTATAGAGGTAACCTCATGCAGTTATTTATCTTCCTTTTTCGAAGCATTTTTAGATTGCACTTTTCATAAAAAAAATATCACTTTATAAAAAAAAGCTTCATTCATTAATGAAGTTGCATTAATTTTCTACTCATTTTCAATTTTCAAATGCTTAAGTTTCCTTCTTATTTTTTCACCAAAAAGTTATTAATTTCTTCAAATATATGAAATATAGAAAAAAATCTCTCTTTCTTTCTTGAGCTCTATGATCTGCATACGAACATGCATTTACAACTTTCAAAACCTGAAAACGCATGTGTGCGATCTTATCCTCATGCAATGAATTGTAGGTACTTTATTTTTTACCACGCTATTTTTGACAACAATATTTTTAAACTGCAAAGTTTTTGAACCGCTTTATTTCGACCACGATATTTTATACCACGATGTTTAAAACTGCGATATTTTCTCCCGCGATGTTTTGTACCACGAAGTTTTCTCCTTGCGTTGTTTTTCCGCGACGTTTTCTTCCGCGATGTTTTTGCCCCGACGTTTTCGGCGGACACCGTTAGTTTGTCTATTTGATTTTCTATACGTAAATCTCCAGTATTTTTGAGGTTATATAAATTAGTCTAATGTAATACCATCGATACCTGGTTCTCTACTTTTATTTGCCATTTTAAATATGTCTTTAATTTCATTATGTGTAAAATAGACGTCATTCTGAGTTTTAATAATAGACTCAGCTTTTTTGTCTTATCGAAGCATGTTCTGCAGTATCTGCCAAATTATCATCTAGTGGAAAGTGATAGGAAATAATGTACACCACTGTTTCTTGGACATTCGTATTAAGTGAACCATCTTGTATTTTTATTTGATGAAACTGCAAAGGAGTGATGCTTTTTCCTTTTGTCAAGTTGTAGCGAGTGCTAAACGGTGACTCGGGAGAAAGAATTTTCTCAAAATTATTCCAAGAATTGAATTTACGAATATTACGCTCAAAAATCGCTTCTTCTCTTCAAATGATTGCATAGTCTATTTCTTTCCAAGTCGTTTCCAGTTTCACTCTATCTTCTTCTTACCCCTTACCTTTTCCTTTTGAACAGTTAATTCCTTTGTCCACCAAGGATGTAACTTAGGAAAGGTTCATTAAATTATATTTGTAATTTTACTATTAATATACAGATTGTATAATTCCTCTTCAGTCGGTGTAATTAATTTGTCTATTTGATTTTCTGTTCGTAAATCTCCAGTACTTTGGAAGTTAGTAAATAAACCTTCTCTTAAAGATATCCAATCCATTCGATACAGTTTCATTCTCTTTTTATTACTTCGCAAAATTAAGATATTATCTAATTAGAATGAAATAATCCGGTGGTCATTTACAATATCTTCCAACTTCGAGTTATTAATACATAAATCCTCATTCATTTTTAGCATAGCGAGATCTATTCATGACTGATATCGATTGGCTATGCATGTGGTTGGACTGTGGGGTCATTACACAAGGTAAAACCTGAGGCAGCCACAAAATTACACACCTGAATCCCTCTGAAGGAGAAAGTGCGGAGAAAGGTTCCAGAGAAGAAATTATGTTCAGTGATTAGGTAACAGGTGTCTGCATTGCACGTAAGTATTCTGTTGCTGATCAGTTTTTGAAATACAGCAATGTTGATTCATATGCTATACATACTTATTATTTAAGGATAGAAAGGGGAATTACTCAAAATAAGATGAAGATTAAAAAGGACTATTGCGAGTAACAATTAGGAGTTTGTCTTGTGAGTAACAATTAGGAGTTTTTGTCTTACATACGTATAATACTTAATAATTATTAAATATTGATCATTTATAATATTTAATTAAAATACTATCGAGTTTCAAAATTTCTCTTTTTTTGTTTAATTTTTATGATGTCTTCCAGAGATGATGAAATCAAATTGCACTCGCCATTTTCAAAGAATATTCGATAGTGGTCGAACAATTTGCTGCATAGAAGATTTTGTAAATTTTTCCATCACGTAAGTATGAAAAAATTCTGCTTAGTGAAAAAGTATCATTCCCCCCCTCTAACAACTGTTTGAGGAGGAGGAGGCGATAACACACTTCATAATTTTTTTTTTTTTTTCCCTGGCGACGCTGTTCTTGAGAAGGAGGAGTAGCAGCAGCAGTAGTAATAATAAGTCAGAAATTAAATAAATATATATGTTTTTCATGTTATCATTAGAGTAAATTACGTCACTAATGCAAGAATTAGTGACACAATTTGAGAGAAATCTGTGAACAATTTTGTCATCTGTTATGTACAGAACTAACTACAATATGTTTAACAATTACAGTTCTGTCCCATTTCATTATTGATTGCAGTAGTTGTAACTTTGTTTATAAGGCAGAAGAAGACAAACATAGGTAAATATATTTTTTGTCGATTTTCATGGTCAGGAATCGCATGCGAATAAATTCTATAAGCTTATCTCAGAATATTAATTTCAAACCTACTATTACTGTTAGAAAGGCAAAAGAGCTTGATTACGAACTAAAATATTTCTTTGATGGTTTTTACGCATATGAAGCTCGTTAAAAACTTCTAATGTCGGAAACTAGCTAGACTCTGAAAGTTGATTTTACTACCATTGTTTCAATAACGGCAGATAGTACCTGTCAAGAGATGTCAAGGTAACTGGAAAGGTTTCACTTCAAAAGAAAACGGTTTTTCCACATAAGGAAATAGTTTTTAGACTGCAGGTTACAAAAAACTTCCATGTGATTTTCAAGTAAGCATCTTTAGTATGACAAAATGTTAGAAAAACTTAAAAAGCCAAAGTCTGGTGGTCAGTTTTTAGTGTGCTCTAGTATTGTGTAAAATGTAACAATTTCTAACAAGTATTCGTAGCCGCAGAGTCAACTTTCTGATAAGCACGTTGTACATGTTGTATTGTAGTATTTGCCATTTTATTTCAGTGTATGTACAGTATTTCATTAAGTGTGCTGTATAATATGTTTTCTATTAGCGTGGAGTATAATAGTTAGTTTAATGTTATATAATGGTAAGTAAGTGTGATGTATAATAGTAGTCTTGAACCAGACTTTCTTGGTTGTAGAACTTCGTAAATATGTATTGAAATGTATTGTTGGATTTAATGTTTTGAATTGACTCAGCATCCTAGCTCTGCTACAATATATTATCTTCCTAATTTTCACTGTGATTTTCCCCAAAGGTTATTGTTTAGTGTTCTTTTGACTAGTTTTAGCGTTCTAATACAGCGTCATGTACAGAATTGTCTATTTTTCCTGATACGCGCATTGTATATGGTGTGTTATATTTGTATAATCAGTTACACTGTGTCAGTCTGCTGTTCAGTATTCTAGTAATGTGTTGCATAATATGTTTTATAGTAATGTGTGGAACAATAGCAAATTTATAGTTGTATTATAGTGTCATGTATAACTGCAGGCTTGAAATTTCATTGTTAGTCTTGAATTTTATTGTTTGTTTTACCAAAACTACTTTTGTATCCATGCCGCTCTGTACTTCTCAGCATTTTCTTATAAATCTATGCAATTAAGAATGTCCATATGTATCTAAGATAGTCCTTTGTATCCCTTATTTAGATGTGACTCTGTAACCATTTTTTTAAAAAAAAATTTAGACTCAATAAATGCCGTTACGGCTTCTGAAAGGCGGACATCATAATGCAAAGGCTAGTTCCCAGACGCTTATTTCCAAACCCTACCCCACTTTTGAATTTTTGACGTCATGGAAAAATCGACTAGTTTCGCCTGGATGGTAATTCTTGAGCATGCGCTGAAGGGCGAGAAGTAATATAAATGGAACTTTGGCTTGCACTTTTAAACTGTATTAAGTATACAGTCTGAAAGTGCATTCGTTTATGTAATTTCATAATTTGAATGTTTCTGTAATAGGAAAACTTCATTCAGATAAAATTTAATTTATTATCTGGTTATAGGATTATACGAAATGCTGAATACTGTAGGTATTATCGTAATCTTCACGTAACCTTTCACATTGGATTTTGCTTTATCATTGTAAAATATATTGTAGTATAAAGATTAAATCAAAGCAAATTACTTTGTTAGAGATGTGAATGTTCTAAATGAATTTTCTTTTTATTACTTATTATTTATTTTCGCTTTGAAAACACTTCATATTTGACAAATAATTATCTCCGCTGAAAATGTTTTATTTGTTTAAAAACTGTATGTCAATAATGTAATGAAAACTCTCTAATCTAGCGCTTCGTAGATCAATATGACAACGAATTCAAAATGTTTTTAAAACAGTTCTTTAATATTCAGTTTGTATTAGATGCAACTAAATGACACAGAGAAAAAAATATTTCAATAAAAAAGTTCTCCATGTTAATTCAATAGCAAAATTATTTCTATTTCAGTGAGAAATTCACTTTCAATGCTTATATAACAGAGAAATGTAACATAAGCATTTTGTAAGCTTTAAAATATAAGCTAAAAGTTTACTATACAATAATTTACTATACACATCAGATTTTTTTTCCATTAATTAGCAACTTAAACAACTTATTGCAGCTTACCTTGAAAGAACGCTTCTATCAATAGGTCTCTGGTAACGTTTCCATGAAACTGTAAGGGGACTTTCACCGTGAGCATCGCAACTCAAAACTACTTCCTGGTGTTCTTTGACAGTTTTCACTTCAAAACTCTGGTTGAAACGAGGAGGAACTGCACTTGGGATTCATGAAAATAAAAGAGAAACATGCACATGGTCAGAAAGAGAAGTTTTGATATTAGGTAGTACATATTATTGAATGACAAATGTTTTTAGAGTCATCAGTCGAAAGTCATGTTATCAGTCACATATTTGAAAATTCAATTACAGTGTACATATAAAGAGAAATAAACTTCTATATAACTCAACATTTTCCGGAATTAACAAACTTATTCAAAATTCATTTAACGGTAGTTCTTGAAATTTTTTTGTTTTATGCTAAAATCTGTTATCAGATCTATTACTTTTTTTGAAATTAGCTGAGCTAAGATCTGTCAGCTTACATGTCATCGTGCAAGGATTTCGAAACCAACAATTGCTTTCCTGACACTGGGATAAATATTCATTAAGAATTTAACTGCAGGTTATGCAAATGCTGTGGTGTTTTATTTTCAACTTCTAGAGTCAACTTGTGTGGATTTTGTTGAAGCAGAAGTCATAAAAATAGAGCAAAGCCCTAGCCGAGACTCAAACCACGGACCTCTCGATATGCACCCAGTGTGCTGACTATTACACCACGAAGGCATGGAAAATACCATATACCCCCCTTTTAAAGGGCGACTGGGCATTAGGGGATCCAATCGCCAAATCCTGGCGGTGGAGGAGTGGTATATTGTGGTGGTGGAGAATCATAATCCACCACCTTTTTTAGTTCAGGCGCCACTGTAAACTCATTAGGATTTTCTTGAAGCAGGAAAAAAGTCAAATTTATTTTAATATAGTGAAGAAATCCAGAGTAGAATATATATTCTAAAAAACACAGTTCTATACGTTACATTAAAAATAGAGTTGTTTCTCCCTTGTAATGATAAATTCATTTGTTACATCTAGTAAATATATCTCCTGCCCAACTGTTTTAAGTAAGAAAGACAGTAACTTGTTACGCAATTCAAACAATCTTGACAATGCTTTTCCTGAATGCTCACTTTAAAATCCTCACTAAACATGCAGGACATAATGTCTCTCTAAATGTATGAGTATCACCATTACATACCAAGTAGCAATTCACGCGATGGGATGCCTTTATTGCAATTTTGTTTTTAGTTCGGGGAATTTTTTTCCACTTTAAGAAAGTTACTATTGACAAATTAGAGAACTTATATTCTTTCTAAAAGCACAATTCTTTTCGAAACCAGCATTATTACGTATACTGATTTATTGACCATAGATATTACTTCAGTTTTTTTTAATATAGGGCTTGTTTTACAAAAAAAAATATTTTTCCAAATTCTTGGAAATTGAGTCCCCCCCCCCAGTTCATGCATTGCTGTTTAGATTTTATTTACAAAATTTTATTTTTAATCTTTTTTCTAAATGATGAACAGTCATTAAATTAAAAACTTTATAAATCTGATTATAAATGGAATATTAATTTTTATGTTCTTTTATTTTATTGCCTTTAGCAGAATTTCGCAAAAAGTGTTCGGCGAAAAATTATGAAAGTGAAATTAAAGAGAGAATTAAAAAAAATTAGAGAATTAATGGATATTGCCATATTTTAAAAAAACTCTTTAGAAGAATTTTAAAGCAAAATGGTTTAAATTGCGAGCTTAATAAAGTATTAATATAGCACATCAGATAGTTTGCGTTGCTAATGAATGCATGGAGAATGCATTTGCCACTCTTATTTAAGTTAATAATTGTTCATCATTTAGACAAAAGGTTAAAAATAAAATTTTGCAAATGAAGGATAAACAGCAAAGCACAGGAGGCGGAACTCAGATTTTCCAAGAAGAAGGGAAAGTACTTCTTTTGCAACTCAAGCCCTATATAAAGTTTGTGCGTTTGTTTGTTCGCTAATAACTCAGTCACTACTATAGCATTCGTCACCAGACTTTCTACAATTCTTTTCTGGGTCCTGGAAAAGGTCGACATCCATTTTTTTCCCCCCAAAAAAAGTTAAAATTAGAGATATTAATTAAAATCTCTGAAAACATTAATATTCCATTTCATTTTTCAGAGTCCCAACACTCGCACGCTGGAGATAAAAGTCTGCTTCATTTTGAGAAGTGTTCCCACTATTCGCTTTCAAATCGTAAAGTTTATTAATAAAAAATTCCAGAGAAGCATTGCAGCGGTATCGTTCTCTCTGTTGTTAGATACATTACTCTCAATCTTTTGAGAGTAATGTATCTTCTTCTCATCGTTTGGGCGCTAGGATTTTTTTCAATCTTTTTTTTTTTTTTTTAATTTAATTTATTTATTTATTTTGAGTTTACTATGAGCAATAATTTAATAGATTACGTCTTTCCTTCATGTAAGACCAAAGATTTTACAAAAGCCCAATAAATATATGACAGTTGTGTCAGGATTAGCATCCGCATGTAGACATTTGGCAAGTCCAGAAAATCCACGGCAGTTAATTTTTTAGGCAGAGTCCTCCTTTCTTTACTTTACTCGTATCTAACTTCTTAACAGTCTTTTGATTGCTTCTTTGCTTAATTTTAAATAGTTCCTAACAGAATACTCTTTCCACGAACAACAATATCCAAGGTTACATGTAGACTTTATGAGGCTCTTGGCCGTCTATTCGGCTGCGTTCTCGGAGCAGTGTGGAGCAGAGAGTAGATGGTTTTTGCCAGGAAGATAACACACTGTAGGGCTAAGACCAGGTCAGTGGTCTTCCTTGGTGGCGCTCACTCACTCACTCTCAATGTAACTTAACTGGCATCGGGTACTTCCGCTAGCATTAAAATAATTGAAGTAAAATCTATAGTATCATACTAATGCAGGTTTCGAAGCAAATGGTGATTTTAGAAAGACAGTAAATTCTATTACCTTATCAACAAATATGCAGTAATTTACACTTGAGAATAATACAAAAAACTTAGTAATAAAAGCTTGCAAGATATGTGAAAGGTTTCAGATTTTAAATTACGACCAAAGGGGCGTTTTTTTAACGTTTTGTGTGTTATTTTTATTTATTAAATATCGTGTTCTACGTACACAAACCATAAAATTCAGGTTAAAAGCAATATCGAAGATAATTTTAGAATGAGCATAACTTGAGAAATTCCGATACACAGTCTCAAGCGCTAGAGATAATTCCCCCCGGCGTAAAGTGTTGTTTGCTCTGAAATCGTTTAGTCTTTTAATCAAAAATTCGTTGAAGTAATACAAAATATGAAATCACTAATAAAACAAATTTCAAATTCAAATTAGGGCTTTCACATGCCTATATTCTATGGAAGAATACGTTATTCAAATTTTGATGGCTCTAGGTACCGTTGATTTATCAGCATGCGTGAAATGTATATACATTCATGTAGATTCTTCATTATTTCATTTCTTTAAATATAATATAGGGCGATAATATTTAATGGCAACAATTAGAAAAGTGAAACAAAACTATCGACGCAAAATGCCAAAACGGAATTACAGTCCTTCTGGACAAAGTGCCCCTTTTAGCTTAAAAAAAAAAAAAAAAAAAAAAAAAAAAAAAAAATTGTTGAGGAGCAGGCGTACTAGAAATACCTTTCTCTTGGATACCTTAGCATAATTTGAATCTGAGAGTGGTTAAAATGTGCGCATGCAGTAAAAGCGCTGAAAGCTAGTAATTCGTTCGGGGTTCGAGTCCCGGCGTTTTCGTGGTTTTCTGTATTGCAACGTGCATACGAGCCAGTTTCCCTTAAAATGTCCTTCACAGAACATCCTTCCCTTTCAATGTAGTGCCAAAGGAGCACGTAATAAATTTAAAAAAAAAATGGCGAATTGTCTTTGATCAAAAGACATCCTCATAACGTTTCGATTTTGTGCTCTGATATTTAAATTCAAAGTGAAACCAAGAGATACTAAGGTCTTTACTCTTTTTGAATATATAATAATATTTGAGTTTAATGGCAAACATAAAGCAGCTTTTTAAAGTAATGTAGCCGTTTTCTTGAAAATATGCGACAACCATATAGCAGCCACTATAGGAAAAAAAATAAATACAGATAAAATAAAATAAAAATAAATAAATAAATAAATAAAATTAAAAAAATTTTAAAAAAAAAATAAGAATTGGAAAATGAATAATTGAGATTACTCACAAAGGCAGTTATTAAGACTTTAAATCTAAGAAGCGTGGCAGAGATTTTTGCTAACAACAATTATTGGGAATTTTACAACGGATAACCAATGTAAATGCGTGAAAGCTGTATAAACCTCAACAGGATTCATTCATTCATTTATGGGAAATAGAAAATTACAGTTATTAATTTTAAATAATAGATACGTGACTTTTACTCTACTTTTACACATAAAACTTTTTCCATATCTTTGAAAATCTAAAATGCTGGTCTCTTAAAAATATAAATACCGTATTTCTTTGATAGCAACATTTAACCGATCGTTAAGTTAGATATTTGAAAAAAGTCAGAAAAGCACGCATTTTTATATGTAATTGATAAGAACATAGGTATTTTTTATCACTTTCTATGTTATCTATAATTTTTGATTTAATAATCTGATTTTTAATTAATAACTATTTACTTGACAATGAAAATGCAACACCAAGAAGGATTGCTCGAAAGTTAGGCAAATTTTAGGCTAGTCGCACGTCATCGAGTTATGCAAATGATGGGAAATGCGCAGCTCTCCAGTGTACGTTCAAGAAGGTATAAGGGTAGAAACCTGTAGAATGCTCAGTTCTCGAGCCGTTACTTCTGCTAAGGAAATCATTTTAGAAAATTTGTTCTTGTCTCAAAGGACGTGTGTGCAGATAATGCCAGGCCGTCGTCAACGAAAACAATTCCAGCAGACAGACTATTTTACGAGGTGCATGGTGATCGCGCTGAGAGGAGCACGTTGGTTCATACTGCAAATCCCAGCTGACACCTGGACGTGTCCATAGAGTACAGGCTGGGGCGACGACGGTTGAAACAAGAAAACATGGCAATTTCAAGGGGTGTCGTTGCAGCCAGAGTGACGTCAATACTCGTGGATCGACGCATCCGCCGACAAGCGGTGGTGC